GTAATCCAAGTTGTCCCTTCCCCTTCCCTTCCCTTCCTCCAGGCTTGCACATCATTCCAACTAAATCTGATTCTGAGCGGCTCACAATTGTCCAGCCAACTGTGAATCCAGTCAACTGTGATTTAAGAAAGCACGTGAGTCAAGCAGGTAAACAACACAGGACATTTTTTTACTTATTCAAATAAACATTTGACTGAATGTTTGGCTGAACAGTGGTAGCAAACAATCCTGCTTAAGTACTTTTTGGATTGTACTTTATGCTTCTGCAACTGTTCTTGCTAAAAATGACTTGACTCTAGCTACCCTTGTAGAATTTAAGAGCAGAGTTTACCCACAGAATTTAAGAGCAGAGTTTACCCACAGCATAAAAGAAAGATTAAGGATCCAATAGTTCATTGGCTTTGAAATACAATTTGATTGTACTATTTGTTAGCATATGTGGTCACAAAGCTGTTTCAAAGTGAATGTGCACTGGAGCCAATGTTGGGATTCTTCAGTTGAATTGCAGTTGCAAGAATTAAATGAAAAAGAGTTTTTTTGGAATGTATGAAAACATCCCTACTGTAGCAACTGTAATGTCGAGAAAAGACAGTAATATTCTGCAAATGATGCACGAATGTTTAGTGTGTTTAATTATTATGGCTTTCAAATACTTATTCTACAGAAATCCACTGAGAAATAAATCTCACTGTTTAGTTGGGCTTTACATAGTTAATGCTCAGCAGGATTGCGGCCTTTAAAAAGGCTGGGGTTTTGCACTGTGCTGGTTTTTTTTTTAGTTTTATTTAATGTGTTGTATGATCTTGTAATGATCATAAGCCCTTGTGACTTATAGATCATGGTTTATGCATTGCAGTGTATAAACCCAGCCAATTATGGTTTATGAATAAATCCTATTTAAACCATGGGTTACTACAACATGTGAAATCAGTATTAGAGTCAAAGGACAGATATTTGGTGCTTAAAGCTAGATTGAGAAGAAGAAGTAACTTTAGCAAATGAGCAGCTTTCATTAAAAAATTAAAAATTAATTAAAAAATTAAAAAATTAATTAAAAAAATTAAAAAAATGTCCTGCAATGGACTTGGTAAGGGTATGTAAGTTACAGGCATTCAAACATCATTCTCAGGGAAAATGAGCTTTGACTTTTTTATTGTTACTTGCAGTTTCAATGAGAACAGAATTCCTTCACAGCAGAACTCAAATGTGTAGAAATAGGAGTAAAATCCTGTCATTCACAAAGAAAACGCTTACAAAAACAGTAGAAGGAATCTATTTGATGGTCTATTAATATCCAGTACAGTATCCAAAAGCATATGACATATATAGATTGCGATACTTAAAACATTCTTTTCTACATTGGCATTCTGGTCCTGTCCTATATTGCTTTAAAAATAACAATCTGCTCAGTACAGACGTTTAGGATTGCTATAGCTGTAGATGCCAAACTTTGCAGCTCCATTTTAGCCATCCAGGGTTTTTACTGATGCTTCGGGTAAGATTTCTAAATTGATAGAATATTCCCTATGTGGACTAAGGAAATCTATTACCCCTCAGTATACTTCTGCAATTTGGTTGAAAATAAGCTCTGCATTTTCCCAGCTCATTGTGATATGTGTTAGCTTGAAAACTTATGTGGGAATGGAGAAAAAATAGTTACAATTCAAATTTCTGCCAACAAAAAAATCTCTTTTAAATATTTTAAATATTTTTAAATATTTCTGTTTGCAAAGGGAAGGAAGGAGAAGTAGAAAAAATTAATACCTCAAAAGAATTGTTTTCATTTCTAGAAGGTATTGCATTTTTGCAGAGTTCTGCCAAGGAGGAGGATAGCACATCTATGCAACTCTGCTTGGAACTCTGAGTGATTTGCTCATGAGGAATCATAATAGGATGACATTGCACGTGTAATATACATGTCTCTTTTCAGTTTCTCTGTGATTTGCCTGGCATGTTGTTCTTTAAGTAAGACTATTACTTAAATAATTAGCAGAACAGAATACACATGAGCTTGCAAGATTTCTGCTTTCAGGATCCTTGGTTCATGTCCCTTTTCAGTTTCTCTGTGATTTGCCTGGCATGTTGTTCTTTAAGTAAGACTATTACTTAAATAATTA